TTGATATAGCGCCTTATCACATCTTCAAGATGTCTCAAAGCGCTTCACAGGATATACTGTAAAGTGTAGTGATTGTGTTTTTTGTGGGCAAAACGCGGCAGCCAATTACGCACAGCAGTGTCCCACAAACAGTCATGGGTTGAGTGACCACATTATTATTATTAATTTATTTTTTATTTACATGAAAACCTATCCCCCAATCGACTAACAACTGGGTTCCTACTTACCGCTGGATAAACAGAAGCTTGAGTGTGGAGTAAGGAAACTTGCCTAAGGTTTTGTCCTATTATTAACTATCTTACATTAATGCCCTCTTGTTTTGAATTTGCCAAATTGTGGAAACAGCTCAGCAATGTCAAAGTGTTCATGGTCACACTGTTCCCTTACATACAGTCCAGAACAGTTTAGAACAACAGTGACCGGGAGACATACATGTAAGATAGCCCCAAGGAGAGCGCAAGGAGTAATTTTTTCACACAAAGTTGTTGGTAAGTGGAATGCCCTGCCAGCTAAGGTGGCAGAGGTTAGGTGTTTTCAAGAGGGAAATGGACAGATATATGATAATTAGGTGATGGGGATAGAACAGAGCATTGGGATTAAAGTATGGCCTTCTCTGAGAGCTGGTGCAGACTCAATGGGCTGAATGGCCTGCTTCTGCGCTGTAAATTTTATGATTCTCCAATGCCTGTCTTCATACTCACCATGCCCTTCACTTCTTCCACATGCATTAGGCAGGAAGTGCCGAGTGGCTATGGAATGTTTTTGGCGGCTAATAAACCAAACAGCTGGGGTGAGTTTGCGAAATGTTTTCTGGTGGTGGTTAAGTTTAATTTTTTTTCAGTGAGTACATTTGATGTTCACTCTTAAGATTAGAAATGTAAAAGGAAGTTTTCAGAGATGAAATTTGGAGAAGCCTTTTTCATGCTGATTAAGGCAATTGTTGTAGGTCCTGGTTTAGAGGCTGAGGGCTTCTCTTTTGTCATTCTGTTGTCTGACACATGCTGCAAACATGGTTAAGAGCCTGTGCCATCTATACATGGAGATTCCTGTGCTTGGAATGAAGAACACTCTTTCCTAAAGGGACACATCCTGCTTTCCTAATTCCAGAGAGAGAGGCATAGATTGGCAGGAACCAAGGCTTGGGTACCCCAGAGTGTGTGCTGGTGTACTGGAGTTTGCAGAGTTAACAGGAGCCGAGTGCTTATTAGTGGTTAGAGTGGGAATATCAAATGACTGTCATTGGATTGATTGGCCAAAGGATTTTTTATTGACAGGATTCTTTGGGTATTTCTATTGAAATTTGCAGGATTTACTTTTTTTTCCAAATGGTCTAAGTCCTTACAAAATAGCATATGCTTGTGTATGTGTTTTGACTCATTTCTTGTTGGTTTGTAAAGTTTGCATTTACCAAAGTTACATAAAGCAATTAGTTGCAAAGTTAGTTTAGAGGATCTTGGCTTCAAGTGCATTCTTATGCAGCCATCATATTTCCAAAATATGGAATTTGTTTTTAACTACAAAATTGATGTAGGAGGGAGAAATAAAAGCATTGATGTATCCCAATTAGTGACTATACTTATGCTTTCATTATAATAATGGGTGTATTTGGTATACTCCCTTTTGGTGTCAATATCTCAAGATATCTCAGAATTTATTGTAAAGTGTAGTGACTGTATTTGTAGGTTAATGGAGCAGTGAATTTGCCCACAGCATTTTACCTAAAACAGCCAAAAAGTGAAGTCCAGGATATCGAGAAAAGTTCCCTTCTCATTTAAAATAGTGCCAAGGGATCTTTAATGCTGCTTTAACAGGCAGACAGGATGTTTGTTTAACATCTCATCTGAAAGACAGTAACACTAACAATACAACAGTCTTCCAGCTCTGTACTGGAGCACAGTCTAGACTGTGAGCTCAAAGTCCTGATGTGGGATTCAACCTTCTGTCCAAAGCCTGTAGAGCAGCAAGGAATTTGGATCCTGAGTTAAGTTCATGAATAAAATGTTGTCAGAGGAATGACCTTCGTTTAACTATAATTAGATAAGGTCTCTGTTTGATAAGGAGTGACTTCAACCAACCTGACATGAACTGTGAAATCCGTACTAGAATAAAAAGAAATGTAAGTTAAATGTGCCTTGGAACGTCCTCCTGATGTGAAAGGCACAATACAAATGTAATTTGCTGTTGTTGTTGGTACGAGATAGCCTCTTGACTCAATGCATCAAGCATCCTGCTAGCAGTAACATATCTACATCTTGTTCTTACAGCATGTGCAGTAAAATCATAGGTGAAACCTCTGGGAACACTGACTTCGATAAAATTAAAGTTAATATTAATTTACATTCACACACTTCAGATTTCTTGCCCCTCTTTGCTTTGATCTTGTGAAAAAACTTTTTTATCACTTCAGCACAATCACCTTTTACACGATCAGGATGAAGGCCATAAATCTATTTGAGGCAGAACATAATCGTGCATGATGTTCCAGTATGTAATAATAATAAAATAAAAATTGGTCACTCACTCCATGTCTATTTATGGCACCTTACTGTGTGCAACTGGCTGCCTCGGTTCGCCCACAAAATGCAGTCAATCCATTTTATAGTATATCCTGTGAAGCGCTTTGAGATGTCTCAACAATGTAATAGGGTCCTATATCAAATGCAAGGATTATTATTAATAAGTCATATTTTCTTGAGTACAGACCATACTCATTGCTCCTTTGACCAACTGTCCTTCCTGGATATACAACCCATTCAAGATTGAATGGGTTGTATATTCAGGAAGGACAGACTCACCAACCTTGTGTTGAAATAAATGACCTTTTTAAGGCATGAATTTATTGCTGTCATTCAGTTGATTGGAAGAGGAAGTCTCACTTTTACGCCAGCTCAACACTTGGCAGGAGTAAAAATGAAGCAAGACCTCTGAACTAATTTTAGCATGACGCAGTTTAACATGATCACAAAGGGAGACATCTCAA